TAAAGGTGTTTCTTGGGATGCACTTCCAGATGAATTGCTTTTGGCAATCTTTACGTATTTGCCCCTAAATGACTTGGTAAAAGTTTCCCTGATTTGCAAGAGATGGCATCGTCTTTCGTAAGTATTACTTCTCATTATTTAGTGCTAAGAAGACCTTTGCTTCCATAGATGGTTAAATGATCTGGTTCTCATCTTGTTTGTTCATGTGTAATTCAGTTTATGCTGTATGTGGGTTACATGTATGTATAATCAGAAGATGGGTTGCGTATTTTAACATTAGTAAATTCTATTAAATAGCTTTCCCTCCTCTCAGTATTTTGTAACACTGAAAACTTTCTGTGGTTGTACTCGTAGTTCTGACCCTTTCTAATTCACTAACAAGTAAAATTCTGTGCCATAGGTTTGATGAATCTCTCTGGCAGACTCTCGATCTGAGTGGTAGAAGTCTGCCACCAGGAGTGATTGGACAGTTGTTGCCTGCAGGTGTCACTGTATTCCGCTGCCCAAGATCTTCTATTGGGAATCCGTTGTTTAAAACAAGCAAGTAAGGCTTTTCCTGCATGTTCTGGATCCTGAAACCGTGTCTCAAACATTCAGTTTCTCTCTCTATTTTTGGTTTTAAACTCTCCATCAGTAGTAGCATTTGTGCTGTCCCTGGAGTGTGGAAAAGCTGATCAATGGTTAGGCATGTGTTGAAGTTAGAGGATCTGCATTGACCTGTCAGTTATTTGAAACCAAGTTAATGTGATTTTTTGGAAGTATCAAGCACTGTCATCCACTTGCAATTTATGTCTTGTAGGACCAGGAACTGTCAGCATCTCTGGCATTTTTGTATGGGAAGCTCAAAAAAATTATTTAACTCCAGCATGATAGCCTTTCAGGTGTTATGACAAATCCTGTAAATACCTTGCAGATAAGAGTTCTGCAGTTTTGGCTGGTAGCTCAGCAGTAGGCCCAGTGAGGTTAATAGTATGTCTGGTGTGCAGCTGAATACAACAGTATAATTATTTTCTACAAGCCTTGCACAGTCTTAGTGTATGGGATATATATATGGTATGGGGAATTCGTGGAGCAGGTTTTAATGCAATTTTAGTAACCTGCCTTTTTCCTTTTTTAGACCTCTCAGAGTTCAACATATGGATTTGTCAAACTGCACAGTGTCTGTTGCAGATCTCCAGAGTATACTTTGTCTGTGTGAAAGGCTGCAGAACCTCAGCTTGGAGGGACTAGTGCTTTTTGATGACATCATCAAGTAAGTGACATGTTTTGGAATATTCAGGAAATACCTTCTGTTTGGTGCTATCATTTTGTGCAGTCTAGTGTAAGAATGCAGTTGAGAGTTGTTCATTGTGGGAGTCTCTTGAAATGGCCAGTTTTAGGCACCTAACAGAGCTAGCTGGCAGGCTAGATGAGCTGCCTCTTTCCTCTCTGTCCTTCAAGAGATTAGGTGAGGAGGAAACACCCCTCTGGTAGAGTGGTTTTTTTCATTCCCCAGAATAGCAGAAGCCTGGAGAAAGTGCTCACCTCTCTAGGGTTTGTGTCCACTGGCTGCTTCTGCAGCCAAGCTGTACAGTAGAGCTACTTTTATTTTCCCATTTCTGTGCTCCCAAGAGAACTTTGTGTTTGGCATACAGGTTCTTCTCTATTTTAAAGTGTCTCAGCAGTTGTCCCACCAGATGCTTGTTGTACTTCTGCACTATTTCTCACTTCTTTGTTGAACTTCACTGAGTGTCTGGAAAATTACAGATTCTGTGAAGCGATGAACTGTTGTTTGGTTAAACTGTGGAAAGACAGTAACGGGTTGCAGTGAACCTCCTGTTCAATCACATCAGGTGATTGTGGAGGTGCCAGGGACCGTAGGTCAGATGGCAGACACTCTTGGTGTCCTGCTTTCTATTTTTGAGCTTTCTGATGCCTTCCTTGCTCCAGAGGGGGGGGATGGGACCAAACCAGAGCACAAATAAACTAGTATAGTTTGGCTTTTGATACCAGACAAAAACTATCTGAAAATTGGGTGCTAAATAGGCACCAATGATGGAATTTTATTGCCTTGTGTACAAATGTAGATACTGGGTGTAAAGGTTTTTCCAGGTTTTGCCATCTGCACAGCTGCCTTAGTCTTGCAAACAGATGCATTCAGGAGGATGTTACTTGGATATCTGTTTTGTTCTGGAATATTTTCTGTCTTGCAAAGGGGTGACTGCAGAAATGGGATGATTGCTTTGTCTTTGTCAAGCCCTGCCAGCCAATATATGAAAACATCCCTGTGTTATCAACACTATTTTCAGCACAAATCCAAAACATAGTCCCATACTAGCTCCTGTGAAGAAAATTAACTCTATCCTAGCCAAAACCAGCACATTCTCCACCCTTTATTCCATCCTGCTCAGGTGCCACCCAATTCAATACAGCCTCATTAACCACCACCACCCCTTCCGATCCTTTGATATAATATGCAGGTATCATTCCCTTAGTCTGACCACCCTTGTAAAAGGTCCATAAAATGTCCAGAAATGTCCACTGAATTCATTTAGTCCATGACTTTGGGCTCCATGACCACTTTATGGTGGTCACTCAGGACAGGAGAGGTGGTGTGCTGCATGGAGTTACTGGGCACCAATGCCAGCTCAGGTCAGTGCTGCACTTGCAGTGCTTCTTGTAAGGCTTATCCTCCATTGGTTCAGGTAGTTCCTGCTATAGTAATTCCTATAGCTTGCAACTCAGATCATGGTTTACAACAGGTTAAAGGTATAACAGTTATAATCTCCATCCCTAGTACCTTTGGGCCAGGTTATAAGGTTTAACATTGCAATGGACTTCTGCCCTTGCTCTAGCCTGGCTAGCAACAAGGGGCTCCTGCTATAGTAATTTCCATAACATGCAACTCAAATCCCGGGTTACAACAATTTAAAGATATTTCTATTACAGTCTCCACCCGTGGTCCCTTCAAGCCACATTGTAGGGTTTAACATTGCAATGAATTCTGCCCTTGCCGCTGCTACAGCTTGGACTTATCCACAGTCTGCCATCCCTTAGGGTTGTACCTGCTCCAAGTGGAGCCTTATCTATGAGCCACAGTATCTCCAGGGGTATATCTGCTGTGGCATAGACCTACCCACAGCCACAGCTGCTTTCAGGTGCACCTCTTCTAGCGTGGTCTTTTCCTTGGGCCACAATGCCTTCAGAGATATAGCTGCAGTTCCTCCAGGGGTGTAACTGCTCTGTTGTGGGCTTGTCCATGGCCATATGCTTTAAGGTGCTCCAGCATGACCTCAGGCACAGCCATTGATACTTCAGGGTGTACCTGCTGCAGCATG